GTTGTTGTTGTGTTTTGGGGTTCGCTGCTGTATAACCTTACTCTTCTAGAACAGAATTCTCAATTTTTAATGGATACCTGGGCCCAATATCAAGAAAAACAATCTTTTTCAATTGAATTTCAACAAGAACCCAGAAACCCTAAATCCATAAATCCCTAAATCCCTAAACCCCAAATCCCTAAAGCCTAAGCCCTAAGCATGGCTCGTGCGGTGCTCAAATGCAGCGCCCTGGCCCTGGCGCTGTTGGCCCTGGCCGCTGATGCCGATGGCAGCCCCAGCTTCATGCAGCGCCGGGCAGAGGTACTCCGGGTTTAGGGTTTAGGGTTTGGTTTAGGTTACTTTAGGTGGACCCGCCACCCCGTAATAGTGACTATGAAGGATAATAAGGATTAGATTCGGCTCCTTATATTCCTATTATACTACGATTGCAAGTTGGGGGCTCCCTACAGTGCTATACAGAGGAGTGATAGGCGTTATATACAGCTTTCTAACGGATATGAGCCATAGTCTAAACTCCTTAAAGGGGGGTTATATAGGGGATTATATAGGGGACTACTATAGGGGCTATTACGGGGGATACTCGGAGTTTAGACAATGGCTCATATGACTTCCGGTGAGTAGGGAGTGGAAAAGAACATGGAAAACGTGGAAAGTGAACTGGACATTTTCTTCGGCGAATGAAGTCGAATGAAAAAGGAAACTGTGGTGTGTTTTATGTGAATATGTAGGGTTTCGGGTTTCCTTGCTATTTGATCTAGTTGTTAGTAGGGAATGAAGGACTGGAAAAAGAAGAACATTAGGAACTTGAATTTTTGGGGGCTACAAAAATCCATTCCTTCATTCCCCGCTATCAAGCAGCAAGCTTTGTAGGATTAAGGTCGTGGGCGCTTCAGCGTGGGGTTTGAGGGGTTTAGTGCTGAGAGGGCTCGGGATGCGAACCCATTTTTACGCAATGTCTCAATATAGAACCCCAATATACCCCTAATATTACTCCAATATAACCCTAATCTACATCCTTATATCATATAACCCCAAAAGTCCATGTAGTTTTTCTAGTTGGAGAAAAGGTTGGAGAATTTTGCGGGGCGGCGACTTACAATGGTAGTAGCAAAGAGCCGACGCATTCCTCATTCTGTTGTTTTGCAGACATTCGGTAGTGATGGCAATCCTGGTGAACGCGGTACCTCATGCAACTCAAGGAACAGATGCCACAGCAGTCTTCCAGGCTTTCTCTGTAGATAGAATCCTGACTATGGAGGGCAACTGGATCACAGAAATGCGTCGGCTGTGGCGCAATATCTCAAAACGGTGTAGCCAGGCCCTACTGTGCAATTTTCCTCGGGTTTTTTGAAGCCAGGCTCCAGGGTGACCTTGAAGATCGTACGATTGGGAAGAGCTCTGGTACAGTACAGACCTCAAGAACGTGCAGCGACCAGGTAGGGGAAAATCCCCGTTATAATCAGGCGATAGCCTATGGTCTCCTGCATGTCCTATTGCAGACAGCAATTAGGTGAGCAATGTCAAGCCTCTTGATTCAATTTTTCAGGCCAAACTTTGTTAGACTCGGAGCCAGTGCAAAGCCATTGACCATTCGGCCTTGCACAGGTACCTGCCGCTGTGCCTAAAGAGGACCAACTGGCAAGCAGTCGCAAGACATGAACGGTTTCCACAGCGTCACAGTCTGGAGAACGAGTCGCTGATACAGTGGTGTAGTGGGCCGTTGTCGTCGTTGTCGCAGCTGCAGCAGCCGCCGCTGCTGTGGCAGGCTACTGCAGCAGCCTTTGCTTGCAGGAGCCACAGCCCAACCCTGCGAAACCGCTGCGGCCTCGGTTCATGGGAGTTTGCAGCTGCCTTACTGAGTTCTCTTGATACAAGTTCAGCAACAGTGCTGCTGCGCGCGCCCTTTTGGCTGAGGATTATCTGCGAGGAAATCATGTGCCTATCTCATTCATGTGAAAGGGCGCAGCTATTCCACTAATGACACCTGTCATGGTTCCCATCATTCATACCGCTTCAGAAAGGTTGAAGTATTTCCATTTCTCAGCGGCAGAGGCCGTTTTCGTACGCCTGTACACTGTTTTTGTTTCAAAGCGCAGCGCAATGCAACTAGATGCCACCAACCCCAAGGCTTTGTATGTTCCCCATGACCCCTGATGCATCAGGGTTTTTCAAAGAGAGGAAGGGGTATCCGTAGGTTTGAGAGACCCAAGTCCTTCGTTTTGCAGCGGCTGACGCAAGATGAGTCCTGCTGCTCCCAAGCCGCAGCCCCTGCGGCAGGCAGGGCTTACAAAACCTCATGAAGGGCCACGACATTGCGGAAACTTTGGCTATATTGAGGGGAATCTAGGTTGAGACATATAGAGCTTGAGCGGTAGGTATCTCCTTTTTCTACAGGGATGTCTGCGTGGGGTTTGGGGTTTGTTTTAGTAATGTCTTGGGGATCATGTTGGGTCCTTCGTTGACAAAGAAGATCCACCTTGTGGCGCACTAAAATATGGGGGTTTCCCAAGAATTAGGGTACCTTTTTGGGGGGGTCCCCATAGTAAGGATTATAGTATCTTGGGTTCCCCTGACTTTGGGAAACTAAAGATGTAGTAGTCCTGGTTTAACTCCCGGCCAACAGGAAAGGCTTTGATACGCATTTCTCCAACGCAAAACCTAAGCAACCCCAAGTACCCCAAGCCCCTAAACCCTAAACCTAACCCAACAATCGCGCACCCTGCGCACCCTACGCTCCCTCAGGTCATTGATTCTATTTCGGACCGGCTTTGGAGCAAGGAAGCTGGGGATCAGCCGATTCCTTTCATCCTCGGCGGCTCCTATGCTGCGGCTCGTGAGGCCTGCAAGCCGTCCCCATAAGTTTGGGGTATAAGGAGTTGATAGTAATAATCGTGAAGCAGAAAATGGAAACCACTAAAGTATTATGGGGTATATATTGGTGGCTTCGGGGTGTATAGCCTTCAGGATTTAGTGGGTCTAGAGTTCAGAGGGTGAGAGAAGACGCAGCTGACGTTTCGAGCCTGCGTGAGAGAGCGAGTCACAGACAGACAGACAGAGAGAGAGAGAGAGAGAGAGACAGAGAGAGATCAGGGCTTGCGAGAAATCAAAACCATGATAACCCTTGTATAGCACGAAATGTCTTCCTTTTTGCGCAGGGAAGGTCGCCGGTGAGCTCTGAAAGGGTCACGGGGAACCAAAGGACACTAGCCTTTGTATGGCCCCATTGTGGTTGAGTGGGTTCATGGGTTCAGGACGTAGGGCCTCGCGCTTAGGAATTGTTCTAGACTATTGCCTCCTGTGCATGAGGCCTACAAGCGCAGTGGCGGCAAGATGACCCTGGCATACAATGACATTGACATCTGGTACAAGTCCGTAGACGATGAGGATGAGGGTCGGGAAGGGATCCTAAAGGTGACCTACGAGAAGAATGTTTTCCCTGATCGCCCAGACATAGAGTTGAACGTGATTCGCATGGGACGGCTAAACTTGCGAGGCTTGATCGATGATTTTGACATGAACAATGTCCAGGTTGGGTACAAAGTTGTTCCCAAAATCAAAGGCCGGAAGCTCGTGGCTGAGGTGGCTGAGACATACCTTGCACCGGCATTTCACAAGTTTCTTCTCTCCTCTACCCTCGAGATTGTGGACCCAACCAACAAGAAGACAGGAGCTGCCAGCTTGATTCGCCTCCTATACAAAGCGCAGCAACTAGGGCTGCCATACAACTTACCTCCAGAGAAAGAGTTGTTGCAGGCCTTCAGTGATAGAGCCTTTGCCCCGGAGAAGGTCCACCAGAAGCTCCAGCAGCTAACGGGGCGATTTCGCGAAGAGATTTTCTCCCGTTTCAATGTCGTTTTGGATGTGTGCCATAATTGGAGTGATTGCCCATACGAAGGAAAGCAGATGTACAGGCTCATATGCAAGGACACTGGCTTCGCTGGCAGGCATACCCTTGCGCAGATCCGCGCGCGAGACCGGCAAGATGCCGTGCCTGGGTAGCAGAAGTCATGAGGATGAGTTAGTTAATAGTACGAATATTTTTATTAGTATCATTACATATTTACTGTTAAAATTATTAGTACTATTAGTTTTGGAGATCCTTGCGCATCAGCAGTTCAAGATAACGTTAGGCGTCGCAAGCAAAATCAAGCGGGCCTCTTCCTGCTACTTCGCACTTCAACCAAGGTGCTGGATTTGTATGGCCGAGCCAGGTTCAACAGTTCTTTGAGCCCAACATCCTCTGTTGCCACGTCTTTCCGTGACTTTGTTATGGTACACATGCTTTTCTGATTTCTGTTGTTGCCTCTTCTCGCATAATCCAGCGGGGTTGTGGAGCCGCTTAGGTGAGTATGTCATCCTATCAGATTCCGGCGATGATGACTTGAGTGACAGTGACTGGAGCCTTTGCTGATGTGGCTGTCCCAAAAGCAGTGCTGACCCATGTGAGCCATTGCTAGCCGGCTTTAATAGGGCTTCCATGGACTGGCACGTGCAGGCCCATATAATAGTTGCCCATGTCTCATGTGAAGTTAGATCTTCATGCTACCAGCCCTGAACCCTTTAAATGTTGTGAGATGCTATAATGAAAAACGCCAGTCACAAGTGGTGTGGGACAAGTTGGGCAAAGTTGGCTGGTCTGCCCAAACCTCATACCATTCCTTGAGATGCTGGGCCGTTTAAAGCGGCCTCACCCTAAATGGTAGCTTATGTAGGGCATAGTACCAGCATGGCCCGCTTTAAAATGGGAATTGAAAGTGTTCTAGATTTCCCTGTAAGATGTCCATGACTGAAGTTCCTGTGCTCTGAGACTGCTTGGAGCCGGGAGATATCCCGAGAAAATTCAAAGGCACATCAATTAATGCACAGAACGCCAATTAGCCAGCCCGTTTGCTTCGACGGAAGACGTGCAGACCAGACAAATTGTGGCTTGATTCAGGTTTCCCTTACCCTCGCCCAAGCTAACGTGGAACCGAGGCCCCCATTCAGCAGAGCAATAGTCTGTACAAGGCCGTTCCATGTTAGTTTTGGGAGAGTGGCTTATGCAAGATGGTCTTCGTATTTGTTCTTGTAAGCTTTCCCGCCCAAAATAAGAGCCCCCCCCCTTCAAACACCCCCAAACCAAACAACATCCTGAGGGCGTGGGGGGTGGTATGGTGCCTGTAATCTCCTGATATACCTCTATATGGTTCTGCGCTGCGTGCTCCATACCTCAAGGAGGGGACGAGGGAGGGCCCTAATCCGTAAACCTTTGGGTGATATACTGCTGGGGTTACTAGTTGCTAGGGTCAAGGGGTTGTAGGTTGGACCCTGAGGTAGGAGATCAGGGTGGGTGATCGAGGCTTATGGTGAAGGGTTTAGGATTTAGGGCCTCGGATTTCGGGCAGGATTTAGGCTTAGGAGAGTTGGGGTTTAGGGTTTAGAATTTAGGGTTTAGGGTTGGAAGGGAACGTAGTACCTCTCTTCCTATATATGTTCCTATACATATACACATATGTAGACATACATATACACATATATATATATATACATATACGGGGGAGGTATACGGATTGCATACTGATATCGGTTTTGGATCCCACCTTGATGGGAGCCTGCTTTCAAGAAATCTACATGTAGCTAGATCACGGTTCCGAACCATAGTCCTTGTGGCCCAGAAACTCACTACTGGATGAGAACGCTGACCTCCTACTGCAAAACCGCATTCATCTCCATGATCAGTACAACACACTTCATACAGTAACTTTTTCGAGCATCAATCTCCAAAGTCACTTCGCTGCCCCTAAAACAATATACTCTGCATCCCACCCCTCCAGCGTTAGGTCCCGCATGCCCTTGCGTGTTCAGGTGGCCAGGGTCAGGGTAGCCAAGTCTCCTGTAGGTTTTAGGGTTGGGCATAGGGTTAAAGGTTGGGTACTGCCCCCCGTCAGTAACAGTTGGAGAATAAGCATAATATGGTTCAGGACCCCTAATATAGAGTGTTACTGGGTGGGGGCAGTACCCAAGGTTTAGGGTTTGGGGCTTAGGTTCATAAGGATCACTTGGTTGAAGTAGTTCGTGGCTTGCTAGCATTGACCACAGGTGGAAGTTCAAGCTGCGCAGCTAGGGATACTGAGCTGCCCTCTCTAGTAGCTCACTAGCTAACCTTTTAGCATCTTTTGAAAGGTCAACATTGAGAAGATGAGTAGGCACAGCATGTCTCATCCTTCAGCAGTACCTGGAGTTTCGCAAAGTTTAATCAAAGCCCCACTGCCATCCCGCCTGCTGAGACTTTGCCTCATGAGCACCGAAACGAATCTATTGCGCAAGAAGCGCTGCACCCCCTCTATACTCGACACTGTAGAATCTTGACCGCAGGCCTCAAGCCCGAATCCTTGATGCGATGATAGATCTGGACATAGCTCGACCCACTGCAGTCCCAGGCTTCCGAAAAGCCTGGCCTTACTGGAGGACTTGGAACGCCTTGTTGAGCGCAGAGAAAAAGCGATGGATGCTTGCTTGCACTAGGGCCTAGGGTTTCGGCTTCTCCTGCTTGTATTATAGTAGGGTTTCCTTTGGGGTAATATTGGGGTTGTATAGGGGTTTTATAGGGACAATGGAAAAGAAAATGGAATCTACTATTTAGGGTTTAGGGTTAGGGTTTCAGCTTTGACTGAGTCTTTCTTTCTAAAAGTGATGATCCATGAGGCCCGGCCGAGTTAGTTTAGGCTTTTTCGGATTGTGCTGTCCCAACATGGTTACCAATCTTGCGCAGGTTACATTTCGGCCATCAAGGAATCAGCAAGTAAGCTTTGAAGGCTAAGCCATACAATGTCCCGTGAGCGAAGGAGTTGAGGGCCGGAACTTGGTTTGACCTCACAAATCCCACATCGCCATGCAGTGCGGAAAGACCAAACCAGCCCGAGATCTTCCTCAGAAAACGCTTACCACCTCGAAACATCCCGCAAGCCCTGAGATTGCTTCTACACGCTGGGTGCTGCCCCGAAATTAGTATCTGTTTCTCTATTCTAGGGCGATAGCTCCCAATACCCCGTGCATGTCTCCCTTATATGGACGGTCATCAAAGATTGGGGTTCCTATCACATTACGGCACCTACTCCAATGAGTATTCAAGAAGGGACAAACATGTTTGCATTCCCCCACATAAATGGCAGGCCTAAATCCAAACCCATCTCTGAAATATAGTCCCCCTTAGGTAGATAGAATATGGATTTGGGTATTTTATAGTAAGAATCCCCATATATCCCATATTCTATCTACTTAAGCGGCACCCTAAACCCTAAACCCTATAGCCTTCCGCTTTGAGGAGCGCACGAGCTGGGCTTTGGGTTTCCTCTGCTTAGTCGCGCTGGGCTCCGCCGGTCTCAGCACACCTTCCCTCTGGCGCAGCGCAAAGGCCCATCGGGTGAGGGTTAGGGTTTAGGGTTTAGGGTTAGCTAGGGCCCGGTGTCGTAGGCTGAAGGAGTACAAGTATAAAGGGGCCTCCTTAACAGAAGAGTGGATCCTTCTACTAGTTTTTCTAGAAAAATCTAGTATAGAGGGGCCTCCTCAAAAAGAGGGGATCCCTGTTGGGGGTTCCTTTCTTTCAGTGGGATTGCACAAAGTTGGTGACGCCTTTGATTTGTAGGATGCCCGCAGACCGTCCAAAGGCCTTCCCAAAATTAGGGGTGCATAGGGGTGCCATTTTAGGTCAACATTCAAAGGATATTCTTCATTTGGGTGGCTGTCAAAATCATGGACCCTTTTTGGATCCTTATTATAATACGGCACCTAATATTTAGGGTACCCAAAAAGGGATCATAATTTTGACAACCACCCATTTGACTCTATATTGGGGTCCGCCTATTTATGAAAGACTCCATCTGGGCTTCATAGCGGGCCCAAATATAGGCCACGACAGATTGAATGTTTGCACTGAGCTATTATGTAAAGAATCAAAACTGTAATTGTTTAGGTAACAGTCTAGCAATTGCTTGAACATGTTTTGAGTGCTTTCAAGGGCTTATAACTTATAACTGATTTCCACTGTTTGCGAGCTCTGAAAAAACTGCAACTTTTTGAGCCCTCAGGGTTGGGGATTTGTGCTTCCGGTGCTGCGTTTTGATGAATTCTTCCCCTAAATCGCTGCAAAATGAAAAAGGCTCCTGACCTGCAGCTGACACCACATTCGAGCCTGACCAAGCGCTTCTGATTGCAATTTAGGGGTTGTTTTTTTCAAACACAACCCTTAATCCTTGTAGATGCGCGAATAATTCCTTACAACGCCATAAAGATGTAGTACTTATAGGTCCCTCAAGCCTACTCTCGAGTTGTGATAGCTTCTGGACATTACCCAATGTTTGGCGATGTTTCATTGAGTTGTGGGGCTAAGCCCACAGAAATGCTCCTGCTGCAGGCGGACTGATGGCGCTGGTCAAGTGCGTCTGACAGATCCTGCGGAAAACATGAGCAATGCAACTGGAGCCTCTGCACTGACACCAGACAATGTTAGAGAAGTGATGAGCTTGGACAGTGGAAGCAAGCAGGCAGCAGTCTCAACGGTCAAGCCCCGTCTGTACCCCATTCGCTCATGTTGTAGGCATCGTCAGAAAATTTGTGTGGACACAGGCGCTGCCATACTGCTGGATATAGAGAGGTACGCGTAGCCAGCATGTGCTCAAGCTACTGAAGTTCACCTGCCTTCTGCAAGCTTCACTGGCATTTCACTTCTTTTACTTAACCGTTTCAAGTCTCCATGAGCTTTGAGGATAATTTTAGGGTCCGTAGAATGAGGCTGTTCGGAAGAGGCATGGAATCCTAGAACGCATGCAGTTTCACCGCTCCTCGTGACAAAAATAGGTCACGATGCTGCGTATCGTGCCGGCAGCTGGTGTTTCTGAAGTTCAGGCTTCTAGGAACTTAGTTGTACACAAATTATACAAGACATAATCTTATGGATTCTTGGCAGACGTCACTCTGGGGGCTGTAGTAGGTTGAGGCAAAGAGCAGCA